CATCAGGGAGCCCGCGGGGTGCTCCACCACGGACGGCAAGCGTCCCGACGGGATGACACTGGTCCCTTGGTCTCGGGGGAGGTCCCTTGTCTGGGACTTCACCTGCGCGGACACATTGGCCCCCAGCTACCTCCCAGACACCGTGCGCCATCAGGGCGCTGCCGCCAGCAAGGCAGAGGACCGGAAGAGGTACGCTTTCCTCATGGACCGATACATCTTTGTCCCCGTTGCCATGGAGACCACAGGAGTATGGGGGGCAGGAAGGACTTGCCATCATCCTCCAAGTTGGTCAGCGGATCGCCGCCACAACTGGGCAGGCCAACGCCGTGAACTTTTTGCGGCAGCGGATTTCCCTCGCCGCGCAACGTGGGAACGTTGCTTCGATTCTGGGTACTCTTCCTCCAGGAAAGGAACTGGAGGAAGTCTACTATTTGTAGTCCGCTCTCTCTCTCCCATTCTTACGGACTTTTTCTGCGATTTTCTGCGTTTTTTTTAAGTTTAGGGACTTATTTGTGCGACTGCTGAGTAGTCAGATTTTTCGATACTTTTTGTGATACATATTTTTTTTTTACACATACTCTGCGATACACCTTATACTAAAATTTAATAAAGAAAATTTAGTTTTTTAAGAATGTTGTACTAAATACATAATTTTAATAGCGATCAATTTTTAAGACCTTCATAAAATCTGCCACGTGGGAACACATTTTGAACACAAGCACTTAGATTCCAGCAGTCAGTTCTTCATTGATTGGACAGTCAGTGGCATGTGCACAAACAACTGTGTAGAAACCCAATACCATAAATTGCATGAAAAATATTTACCTGTCCTGACTTTTGTGTAAGTGTTGGATCCTTTGCACATGGCGTGCTCGCAATTGTATAGAGTGAAAGATATTGATTTCATAAATAATTAACATAGGCCTCATTTCTTGGTAAACACCAAAATAAGATGTGGATTGCAAAATTGAAAAAAAAACTATTAAGTACGCATTCCACTCCTTCTTGAGCTGAATTAATGTTTGGTTTAAAAGAGAAGAAAAATATTGTTGTCAGAAAATTGTTTACTGTTTCCACAATATGGTCGAGAAAATTTATATTGGGCTGCTAATTTTTACCGTCGCCGCAGTGTCCTCTAACTACAATTTGCAAAACATTGAGAGTTTAGTCCCTCCAAGATCGGTCATACGAGTATTAGGTGACTTCAACCCAGAACGCTAAACCCCTTGGGAAGCAAAACTATTCGAATTTCTGTTAGAAAACCTAAATTTTCTCAAAGTGTTGTACAATGTTCCAACAAATCATAACATCAGGGCAAATCGATATTACGGGTCTTGTGAAAAAAATGAGCACATCTTTTCTAAATATTTTGGTCACTCTACCACTTAGATTTCTGTCATATTTCTATACAAACTGCAGACTAATTTCATCATCCAAACTCGGAAAACTTTAAGTCACTGTGGGGAAAATCCAAACTATATATTTCTTATTTTGAGCTTGTTAAACAAAAAAACCTTCAGACTATCTCCTCATGCAGTATCAACATCTAAATTGTTTGTAATTCACGGTCGTCGGAATGGTACCGAGTCTCTGCAAATATTTGTGCCATGTATTCCTTGCATGTTCCCACCTATGGTCGAACTAGCACCATCAACACGGGATCATCTTAAACTGCTTGATTCCTCGTGGAAAATGCACAATTTGAACTTTCAGGGGTTACGAATTCAGGGCGCCGGGTTTCTAAAGTTTGATACAAAAATACAAACGTGCAGCGCAATTCGACGAGGTGGTAAAACATTTCCTGAATACGCAATATGTAGGAAGCAAACACTCGAAACCAAATTTAACTTTAGTACGTCCACAAGTCCGAAATACTGAATTCTTCCATTCCTAACACAGACCATTTTGAATTTGTAATCAATTACCTTACTATTTCGTAGTATACGATTGAGAGGATTTTTATGTACCCGGTGTCTGCTAACTACTCATGGCTGTCACATTGTGGAACATGGTTAATATAAAATGGCAACGGTGACTTTTAGAAAACCAAAGTTGGTAGGCCTTGAGGGTCTCCTTGTGCCCCTTGACTGGTATACCTGGGCGGCGTCAGGAGTGTCCTTCGCCCTTGTTGCCATATTGCTTTCAGGGATTACGTTAAAAAATGGTGCAACATGGAAAAAACTAATTACATATTTCGTCCAATCCTGGGAATGGATCTTGTCCTGCTTGGCCGCACAATATCATGGAACTTGTCGTATTGTGCGGCTCGTACCTCATTTCCCAATATTGGTTATTATATGCGACTTGTCTTTCTTCCTACTGGGGACTGTGTTTTATCAAGGATCCATGTTCTCCTCACTAGTAGCGATGACTCCACCAAGTTTACCTTCAACACTCGAGTCCGTTATTTACTCGAGAATTCAAATTATTACCACCAACTTGTTAAATCCAAATGGTAAAAATTTTACGTCACTGTTAAACTTTGCACTAATTGACAACGTAATTAACGCAACCGCCAAGTCTTCTAAGTTATTTCAGACTTTGACTGACCTTAAGACAAGGCAAAGTCTAATTGATACCCCATCTGCATTTGGCACTGGTCTTAATATTTCTGAAGCACGGGATGTAAAATTCGTGAATAATATATCATCCCGGGTGACAGAAACATTCGCGATTATAAATGTGGAACAAGACTTAACAGCAATGTTAGCCGGGCTGGGAATGAAGAGAAACCCCTATGTTGTCACCCATACGGAGTCACCAATATTTTTTCTAGTCATGCCTCTAAGTATTAGTCGTGGCTTTATGGGTTCCATCATATATCAAACTATTGGTCAGTTAGGTCAGTCAGGATTGAATAAATTATGGGAGGATTTACAAATTACGCAAGTTCTTTTCAATAGGGTAAAAGGCAGAACGTCTGAGGAGCAATATCGAAAAATCTTTGTCACTAGGAATTTTGGAGTGAAGAAAGAAATAATTTTTGAAGAAGCAGAACAAGTTCCGTTTTGTTCACTAGCAAGCGTATTTGTGTTATGTGGTGGTATATTAAGTATCGCATTAGTGGCTTTTATTCGGGAATGGTTGAGCTACGAAATGGTAAAACTTTTAGGTTGGCAATGTTTGCGAATGCTTTCCAAGTTGACAAAACTAAAAGTTTGCAGAAGGGCTAAAACACTGAATCTGAGGAACTGACTAGATCGAGTTGTTCAATCCCGATGAGCAAGTTTTTCAGCTAAACACCGAAAAAAAACAAGATGTTTTTTCTACCAACGATAGCTAGTGGAAATTGTCATATTTATTAAACATGGTTCATTCATAAATAGAGTTGGGCTGACGGACTGCAAGGGTTAATCAGGGGCAAAAGGAAGGATAAAAATAGATTTTTAAAGTGATTGGTTAGCTACGCAGCCCATTCACAGGTAGTCGAGGAATCTGATTTTCATGGAAATGAGAATCGTAGAACTCTTTGTAATACAAAAGGATTACCGAAATTCATTAACTGGACATTCCAATCTCTGCAAGAATTTAACACCGGTATTTCCGAACCTCCTACTGCCGAATCGCATTAAAAATAAGTCCTACAATATCGATGACATATTTTTAAATGGTCAACAATTTTTATTACGGCATTTTTTAATACAAATCATACTTCTTTTATACTTCTTTTATAATTCCATACATATTTAATATGTAACCATTTTCACCTAGGGAAACCATTATTCTTAAAAACTTGTTTCAGAAATTCCCCTGAAAGTTTGGGCGTCCTTTGCCTCTCGGGATCGCTAAAGTTTACAGTAGTCACGCCAAAATTGATTGAATTTCCAAACTCCTGCAAAAAGGCAAGATTACATATGTGCTGTTCAAATTAAGAAGGAAGGAGATGCGGGAAAATTGAACAGATTTCACTTTGACCATTAATTTCGATCGAAATTCACAGCCAATGTTCATGACTATTAAATATTTAAATATTTCCGTGACTCTCTGAATTGAGGTTTACCTACAACATTTACGAAATTCATATCAAACATCATGGAGGTGAAAATTTAAAAAGACCACTAGTTGGCTGTTTCTTAAATCAAAATTTGGACAATAAATGTACATACTTTCGCAAAAGATGGAAACTGCTGAAGTATTTAAATCTACTGAAGTTACAAAACTTATTATATTCGATAGAATAGCTACATATTCGTTACTTCTTCGTGTCTCTAGTCCCGCAAAATAAGTTACGAAAAACAAATGAGGAGTCCAGCTTGGAAAAAATCGTACAAACGCGATTTTCGTGGTCAAAATTTCAACGGCCACGCCGTTTCAAGATCTCGTAAACAACCATCATAAAACATTTTATTTTATTTTATTTTACAGAGAGAAATAATGAACCCCCCTTATTTTTCACAAAACTATTTACACCACCCGAATTGTGTTATGCAGAGTGTAGTAAGACCGTCTTGGATGACGCGTTGGCGCGTAATCCCACTCTACCCCTATCCAACGTATTTAATAATAATAATAATAATAATAATAGCCTTCATTATCCTCATTTACTAGTACTAGGGAATGCACAATATGAATTAGCATAGCACACTAGCCTATTTTCGTGAGCTTACATCCTATCTAAGCCATTTCTACTACCGTCAACGACGTCAAATTACAAATTTAACTAGATGAACAAAACATTTAAATGCAAAAGTTTTAAATCGAATCAACTTAATGAGTTTTGAGATAAAGTCAACTTTTGATACTTTAATGCAAATCTAATTTTTGGTACTACAAACTAGTCGTTTTGAAAAAAATTATTAAATTCATTTTTGCAGAAATTTATTGCGAAAAGATTGCAAATAAATTTATTAATTTTTTTCAAAACGACTTGTTTGTAGTGCCAAAAATTAGATTTGCATTAAAGTATCAAAAGTTGACTTTATCTCAAAACTCATTAAGTTGATTCGATTTTAAACTTTGCATTTAAAGACATTGAATAGGGGCAAGGTGAGAAAAAAACTCTATGACGGTGTAACAAGGGCCTTAAGAAGATCCCTAATCCCTGAAAATTGTTCAAACATACATACCCACTCGAAGTCGTCCATGAGCGTCCATGCCGCGTACACTTGGACATTAACACCATCAATTCGCACCGCCTTAAGCATCTCGTTAATGTAAGAACGATGATATTCCACCTGCCGGTGATCTTCCAGGCCCTCCGCGGGCTTGCCTTGGTATCCATTTTCCAAAACGTATATTTCTGGATTTCCATACCGCCTTTTTATCCAGTTCAGCATCTTTCTGAAACCCCACGGAACGACGTAGAACCCCCAGCCGACGGTTCCCGCCGCACCACTCGGCCATGCGGGATCGTGGCCGAGTATAATCCCGAGTGGAGCCGATATTCCAGCCGAGGCGTTGTTTTTCGCAGTAGGCTCAACCAGACTGGTGGTGTAGTGGGTCATGGCACAAAAATCCCACGAGCCTGGAATTCGTATTAATTGATTCATTCATTAAATACTTAAGTAACTTTGGCTCTGAATAATAATTAATTAGCCTAGCGAACAATGGGGTTGATCACAGTTTTATAATATTTTTGTCAACCGTGTGACGCATGAAGATGTCATATTTGAGATAAAATGACCGATATGTTCCATAGCTTTTCGCATCGATTTCATTGAATCAAATAAAATTCTTTGTAAATGAAATTGTGCCTGCAAGGATCAATATAGCATAGCACTTTCGAATTATGTGCAACCACACCCCCTATAAAAATATTGGAAAAATTAAGAAAAATTGAGAGAATTGAGAAAAATTAAGAAAATTTGGAAAAATTAGAAAATCAATGCACATTATGTAGAACAAGAGTTAAACCTATACTTGCATTTGACATTTGATTTCCCTCTTGAACACGAACATTTTGATGCATCAAAAGTTTCAAAATTCGAAAATTGGCGTTTTTTTTACACACACATAAATCATTAAGAAACACATGGTACCAGCCATTTAAGTAGGACAACCTGATGCCAGATTTTTCTCCTTGGGAAGAGCTACATTTTCAGCTTTTGTTGCCTGAACGGAAACGCTGGTACCCTGAGTAATTTGGGGTCAGAGGTTCTGAGGGGGTGGCTTATATGGCAGGTGCCGTAACAAACGAGAGCTAGTGATATACCAACCTTTAAGTTTTTTATATTTTGATAAGCCAACATTTAAGTAACCCAGTATAGTTAATTAAATGAGACGCATGATTGACTAAGCCCGACAAAGTGCGACGGATACGACACTGATGCGCGATGGTGTTGGAAACCCACCAGAACCCGAGTTCAACACTTTCTCTCGCGAAATATGGAAAATGCTTTTATGGATCACTTGGTCCGATTTATCTCATTTGTCAAATTCATAAGTCGTATTTATCAATCTGATCATCCAATCGAAAAATTGATCGCTAATTTTTCCAATGTGCCTCTGGAAATCGAATTCCATACATCTTGAACTTTTTTTTACTAGCTCTTCCCTCGTCCGGGGTTGTGGCTCTTTGTATACATTTTCCTTAAGTATGGACCACTGGTTCTTCAGGGGATTCAAATCTGGGCCGTTAGCGGCCCACACCCCCTTGCTCCAGACCGTTGAAACTTGCGTCTTGATGAGACTCAAACTCGTTTTTGCTGTATGGGCTATAGCACCATCCTGCATGAAAACTATTTTTCTTTCATTCGGAAATATTTCCTTGTTCCCCATGCTATCGAAATAGATAGGTAATATTTTTTCCATATAATGCTTTGCATTGACTGATTGGCCTTTTGGTATGATATGTAGAGGGGTCACGCAACGAGCACAAAATCCACCCGCTACCATAACTTTAAGCCCGAATTTTGGGATCGCTCTTGATGGTACATCCGACTTGTTTTCTGTCCTGTAACGAACATTTTGTTGGTTCAATTTTGGATATAGTTCAATAATAGATTCGTCAGTCCAAAGGATGTGACTGCGCAATTCTTCACCAAGTCTTTTTTCACTCAAATGGGCACTTTTCTGAAGGAGTTCTTCAAATTTCAGACGGTCATCGATATATTTTTGTGACATGAGAGGTTTTTTTGGTTAGTTTGTAAGCTGTGTGACCCCACTTCGTAGTTTTCACAAATTTTTGCACGGTCACACAGTTAATTTGCTTCTTCTTCTCTTTATAGCGTTTTGAGTCATTTAACTCTCTTGCTCAATTACGTAATGAACTACCGGTTTTCTTGCAAAGTCTGTTTTTAATCATTCTTTTTGTGGTAGGTGACACCTTTCTGGGTCGCCCTGGTCGCTTTTTGTCGTGGACAAAATTTGTATTCTTCCATTTCCAAACAGTTCTGCGGCTGCAGCCCAATTTTTGCACAATTTCTGTAGGTTTAAGCCCCTGCTGATGCAATATTTGTATCTCAACTCTAAGATGCTCATGACTTACACGTTTAGTTGTTCCTCCCATGGTAAAAATTTGAAATAAATAACTTCACTGGTTCAAAAGTTCCAGCTGAATTTGTAACAACCACGCTCCAAAAAATGCATGGGATCGGACTTTATTAACACCCTTTATGACGATAAATCGGAGATTGATGAAAAATTTGATTTATGTATTACGTAATTTATGGACCGCTCGACCAAATACAAATTGTTGCAAATTACAGTATTTAAATGTACAGTATAGATATCAAACGTTTACAAGCATTCGAACTTGTCAAATTTATCGTATCGGTCACAAATGTCTGACGATTTGGGCGTTTGCAACTTGTTAATATATGACATTTAATGACAGCAATTGTTTTTTTTTATTTAGAGCAGCTGGATGTATCTATATACATTCATGGGTCACACCCATCTTCGCGGGAAATTAATTTACAACCAACCAACTCACCTCGCAGTTCGGCCGCTTCGGCCAACGTGAATTTCAAAGGTGTCGACACGCTGCCCAATGTTTTGCTCACTAGCCCCACAAATTCGTCAAATTCGGCGGGATATTTTCCAAAAAAGATTGGAGATGCTAAAACTCCCCACTGGTCAATTACAAGAACTAATTACTTCAACCATACAATTTGAATAATTTTGTGATAGCATTGTTACCGGCGGTGGTACTATGCAATTCTACCGGCTGGTAATAAGTTATTTTTTTGAAGTAACAAATTGCCTCCGGCGTCGGTAATATTTCTATCAACTAAGGAGTAGAAGGTCACTACTTGTCGGGCCCCGATTTCGATCTCCTTTGGATATGTTGTAGTACTACATGAGTGTAGAAAAAGTGAAGGAGCGTTAGACTCCATGAGCCCATTTACGCCCGCCACACCCCCTCAAAGGCGCCCAAACCCCCAGAGTTGTCGCACTAAAATCATCGCCAAAAATCGAGTTTTGGTCAGATTTTCAAAAAATTTACATTTTTGTGATCCCAGATAGTTGCTCTATCATATCCAATAGCAAACTCAACTTTTTTGAAATTTCGAATTTTTTCAATACATACGCTTGGTCAGAAAATCTTCGAAAATATTGAAAATTTCAAAAAAGTTGAGTTTGCTATTGAACGTGATAGAGCAACTATCTGGGATCACAAAAATGTAAATTTTTTTAAAATCTGACCAAAACTCGATTTTTGGCGATGAATTTAGTGCGGCAACTCTGGGGGTTTGGGCGCCTTTGAGGGGGTGTGGCGGGCGTAAGTGGGCTCATGGAGTCTAACCCTCCTTCACTTTTTCTACACTCATGTAGTACTACAACATATCCAAAGGAGATCGAAATCGGGGCCCGACAAGTAGTGACCTTCTACTCCTAAGTTTTTACACTGGGGGCTGAGCAGGATTTAGCCTCTCGCTACATGATATATAACCCATCGATGATAAATTATTAGTGGCACATATTTACATAATACCTTCGGCGGTACATAACAATGGCATCAAAAAATTATTTCGATAGCACTCAATCAGAAAATTTACGGTAATCTGCACGGTAAATTCGGCGATCTTGACGTGCATCTGATTGGCGGGATCCCTTGGTTCATACCACTGTGAGAAGACGGCCATTCCAACTTTTCCATGTTGATGAGGGCGGAATACCTGGTCGTAGAGGCGATACGCCTTCGCGTGAGATCTCAGCGAGTTATGGACGCACCATTTGGCCTCTTCGAGGTTCCGAAAGCCCGGGGCTTGCGTCTGTTTAAGGGGGAATACATAAGTCATAGATTTTAAATCTCACTTGACACCTTTACAATGGCTTTAACTTAAATTTCTAAATTTCCATTTTCAATGAGGATATCAATCAGATCGTTGTAATACTTGAGTCCCGCCGGGTTTATGTAATCTACCCGGCCCGAGGGGAGGATTCTGCTCCAGGATAAACTAAAGCGGTACACCCCGGCCTGAAATTGTCAACAGTGAAATGATTACCATACTTGGGCAGATGACTTATAATCAGATTACAATGTTGTAAAAATGTAATCTCGTAATCTTTAATCTGCTAAGACTTATGAGTAATCTACATATAATCTTACATGAAGTATGCAATTGAAATGTAATTCGATTAATTCAGATTACGGATTATATTTTGACCGAATTTGAGAAATACAAGTTGTGTTTAAGACGGAAATAGGGCCAGGGGCACATAATTTTTTGCCTTATTTTTTCATCATTTGAATTTTTTATAGCTTACAATTAAAATTCCCGCTTTAATCATTGATTATCCACACATTAGTCTAAAATTTTTATTTCTTTAGAGTAACAATAATCAAAACCGGAAGTTTGACAGACAAAAAAAATTTGATTTTCTCAAGATTATTAGAGTTGGCTTTGGTGAAATGCAATGGTGCCAATAATTTTCTTTTACATATTAACTCGATTATATTAATTTATTAGTTAATCATTAATTATCATATTAGTTAATCATATTAACTCGATTCAACCTGAATCGAGCGTTTTTTTTGGAATTGACAGAGATTGAATTCTGGATTAAGGATTATGGATTACATAGTTTCAAAACGTTCTGTCAATATTAGGATGAGTTCAAGAACGATTGAATTGCAGATAAAGGATTAGAGGGACTATGTAATTTCAAAATTTTATGTATTCATCCTCACTGGACAAAGGATTAGGGATTAGGTTATTCTAATCCGGATTAACAATTACTGTTCTCTAATGAAGATTTTATTCAACTCTGGTTTTCTTAGGATATGTAAATACTCACCCCTAAATATTTTAGTAGAGCGACGTCCTCCCGATATTTGTGGTACGAGTCGCAAGCAACATCTCCCGTCGTGCCGTCATGATCTGGTGACGGCTTCCGATGAACGAATTCGTCCCAAATACTTAATCCTTTCCCAAAACAGAGCATTTTTAGCGAGGATTAAATTTTATGGGCTAAATAAAAATATTAAGTATTAGCCCCATAACCGTCTGTAGCATTATTAGCTCACCCTGCGTAGCATGAGAGCTATTGAATTCCTCTTGTCCGTCCGTCCGTCCGTCCGTCCGTCTGTCCGTCTGTCTGTTGACGAGTTTTTTGCATCAATTGATGCGAATTAATAAGTCCCTGCTCCAGTATAACAGGACTGAGGAGCACCACTGGTATCAAACAATCGTTGACGCAAATGGTGCAAGTTAATTCAGCAAATAAATCGAGATAGGACTATAATTTTTAGAATAAGTAGCACCGTTAGTACCGAGCAATTGGTTATTAAAAATGATGCGTAACAATTGGGCCATTTATTTCCCCCCAAAATTCAATGATGCGTAACAACTGGGCCATCTATTTCCCCCCAAAAATCATGTCAGAATTCTGTTCTATTTGTTCGATTATTCTGCACCATTGACGCTAAAATATATAAATTTTATAATAAGTAATTGGGAAAGGGATGCCCTACGCACCAATGATGCAGAAAGTCGGGAGAAAGAACCATACAATTCTTTCAAAGTTTTCAAAATTGTGTATAGTGTTGGTCGCAAATGTTGCACTAGTGGTGCAAACTACGTAGGTGTTTTATTATTGATTTTCAAAAGGTATGTTCCGCACTGTTTCTGACCAAAGTTTTGATGAAATAATAAACTTCGAATACATTTAGGAGGCTGTGATTTTTTTCATCCCTGTGGGTTAACATAAACGCTGGCAATAAATCGGCAAACTTTACCTCGAAGGAAAAAATGCTAGATTTGCAAATTAAATATCGTAGTGTGATTTAATTTTTAATGCTGGATGGGCAATACGTGTCGCAGATTTATGATCGAATGCTTAAAATTTACGATGAAAACTGCCCAACACAAAACACAAATTCAATTGTGCCAATAATTTTAAATGATGGCGAAAAGAGATCTCGGACAAAAAGTCGCCAGGACGCTCAAAATCCGTTTCTTCCACAGAAAGGCTCCGGAAACTAGAGGAACCAATAATGAGAAATCCGTGATTGAAACTGTCCTATTTAGCAGATGAGATGGGTGTTCCAAAAACAACAATTTGTTCCATGTTAACTGAAGACTTCGGTATAAAAATGGTTTCCGTCCTTTGGGTACCAAAATTGCTTTCGGCATCTCACAAACAGGACCGAGTCGACTTTTGCAATGCCAATTTTAGCCTATTAAATAAAGACTTGAATCTGCTCAATATTTTATTAGCTGCACTCTAAGAAACCTGGTGATAACTATCACCGCGCGGTGGTCATATGTGACTCTACCGGAATGGTGACAGCTGCAACCACCGAACGGTGACAACTGCACCACCGCACGGTGATTGATCATCACTAAGCTGGTGATGGGCATCCACCCTCCGGTGGTCTTCTGCCACCTGCCGGTAGAGTCACATATGACCACCGCGCTGGTGATAAAATTTCTTAGAGTGTGGATATGGTACTTGGGTATACTATTATGACCCGGTGACCAAATAATAACTCATTCAGTGGTAGCACGAGGGGTTGCCACCGCCCGTGAATTGAAAAGTGCAAAAATCTGACAAAAAATTGATGATGACCATTTTCAAGGATACCAAAGGTCTCCTCCTTATAAAATTTATTGCTGGAAATACTACAATGGGGCTGTGTGTGCAGGAACCCCGATGGTGCTGCGTCCTGCGGTTGAAAAGAAACGTGGGGTCAAAATAAAGAGTTGGCCTTTTTTTAGACGACAACGCGCCACCTAATACCTGGCTGTTTTAGAGGGCTGCTGCAGACGAAAATCTCTACCTGCACAAACCACACCCCGTGCAGTCCAGACTTGACCCTTAGTGATTATTATTCGTATCGAAACTTAAAGAAAGACATCAGGGATAAACGGTATTCGGATGATAATGAAATCAAGTCGTAAATTTTGGCATATTTTCGAGGTAAATTTTGATGAGTTGTTGCTAGCGTTAATGATAACTTACAGAACTGAAAAAAATCACAGCATCCTAAATGTATTTGAAGTTTGTTATTTCATCAAAAGTTTGGCTAGAAACAGTGCGGAACATACATTTTGAAAATCAATAATAAAACACCCACGTACTTCCGGATTTTTATGTTGTTCCGTTTATATTTCACAATTGGTGCAAGAATCTATGAGAGTTACAATCTATTTTGTCGGCTTTTCCCGTACCTTTGGTGGAAAGTTATTTGCAAATCATTATTGCAGGGTGAGCTACTTCTAACGTTACTACGCTGTAAATAATTTTGAAGCAAATCGTCACCCGCGGAGATACTATACTGCTCTATTTTTGGGTAACGATTTAGGAGACCTTTAATCACCAGAAGGAGACAAGCCAAAAACTCGTGTATCAAACACACGTGACGTCGTTATTAAAAAATTGAACATTTTTATCTGACAATCAGACTTTTTTTTACATGACAGTATTAATTTTTTTAAATGACGACGTCACGTGTGCTTGGTGCATGAGTTTTGGACTTATCTCCCCCTGGTGATAAAACGTCTCCTAAATCGTTACCCAAAAATAGAGCAGTATAGTACCTCCGTCGGGTGACGATTTGTCTCCAAATTATTTAGAGTGTAAGGTTGAAGGCCCATCCGGGGTACAAAATTTTGAAAACTTTGTCAAAATTGTATGATAATTTCTCCTAGATATTCTGCACCCTTGGTGCGTTTTGAATCCCTTACACCATTGATGCAGAATAATCAGAGTCACCCTGAAATGATTAGGATATAACTTTGCACTAAAGGTGCAGAATAAGCGAACAAAGAGGGCAAAATTATGTAATTTTGATAGAATTATGCACCAATGGTGGAAAATAAGCGGAAAAAATAGTTAGCCAATTTTGACGTAGATTATTGCATACCAATTGTGCTACTAATTTGGATTAAAATGGTTTTGGGACTTATTAATTAGCATCAATTGATACAAAAAGCTCGTGAACAGACAGACAGACAGACAGACGGACAAGAGGAATTCAATAGCCCTCATGCTACGCAGGGTGAGCTAATAAATGAATAAATTTCGTGCATTTAGTGAGACTACGTAAATACTTCGAGGTAAATGACGTCCTTGCTAGTAGCAAGAATAAAATTCTTGTCGCAGGAACAATTCGTTGTTGTAGGTTACATTTTTTTGACTTGCAAAATAATAATTTTCTTAGGTTCGTTGACACTTTTGTAACTGGAAGAACATGAACCTGAAATCTAAATAAACCGTAGTAACGTTAGAAGTAGCTCACCCTGTAATAAAGATTTGGTAAGCACTTGCCCCAAAGGTACACAAAAATTCAACAAAATAGATACATAATTTTTATGCAATTATGCATCAATGGTGCAGATAAATTATACAAAATAGATCAATAATTATTATGCATCGAGGAAAGTCCAAAAATTGTGCATCACTGGTGCAGAATTACCTACCAACGATCAACGATAATTTTGAAAAATTTATGTCAAAATTGTCTAATAAAATCCGCCGAGTAGTATGCATTATTGGTGCGTTATGCATCAAAGCCCCCAATTCTTTCGCATCATTTGGTGTTTCCGATTGTCAGATACCAACGGTGCTATTAATTTATGAAAAAATGGACCAGGGACATTTTAATCAGCATCAATTGATGCAAAGAACTCGTCAACAGACGGACGGACGGACAAGAGGAATTAAATAGCTCTCATGCTACGCAGGGTGAACTAATAATTCGAAGAATAGGTGCAGTCAATGCTTACGTTTCAAACACAATTGCACAAAAACAATTAAAATCCTGATCTACAATTATTAGCTCGCCCTGCGTAGCACGGGAGCTATTGAATTCCTCATGTCCTTCCGTCTGTCTGTCTGTCTGTCCGTCTGTTGACGAGTTTTTTGCATGAATTGATGCTAATTAAAAATCCCCTTGACAATTATTGAATATATTAGGCGCACCATTGGTATTGAACAAACCGAATCGAATTTTTTAGTAAATAAATAGCACAGTTGATATCTAACAATCGGTAACACAAAATGATACGAAATAATTGGGGGATGGGATGCAAAACGCACCAATAGTGCAGAATATCCGGGAGAAATGATCATACAATTTTGACAAAGTTTTCAAAATTATGTATCCCGGATGGTCGCTACTGCTGCACTAATGGTGCCGGGGCTTTTGCGTCATAACCGGCATATATGTATATAATGCATATATAAGAGTTGTGACCTATTTTGTTGGCTTATTCCGCACCTTCAGTGCAAAGTTCTCTCTAAATTATTATGACAGGGTGAGCTACTTCTAACGTTACTACGGTTTATTAAGTGTTACTTAATTATCTGAAATTGCACTCCAAGCTGTAATGCCTATTAATGTTTTAGCTCGATTAGGCGGGTCCTGTCAAACAATTGGAATTTCTAAAGCCACGCCTTTATTCAGTGTGATTCATGATTTCTAAATTATGCTAAATCTAGTCCAGTACATCATTTTTCTCATCCTATTTTGGCAATTCTTAAGTCTAAGAGCGTAAACCCTTTAATAGAATTGGTTCGTAACGACAAAATTCGGCGAAATAAAACCGTGGAATAAAATTCATCAGTTTTAAATTTGAAACCGAAACAAATTATGTTTAGTATGGACAAGAAGTTGTACATACATGATTGGGCTATGTAAAATTTGTAATACATAGATGCATGCAAATTTTTGTGCATTTCTTACTAAAACTCAGAATCCTAGCAAATTTATGTATTAAGAGATCTTGGTGGTTTCTTGTTCATTAAAACCTTAATGTTTTTCGAACCCTGCGGGAAATCAAGATTAATACATGCATACCGGGATAGAGTCGAAGAAACAGGAATATTCAATACCATTAGTTGATTGTCGCGTGACAATAAATAAGTCGTGACTGGCGTCAAAATAATTTACACGAACACGAAAACAAGTTAAATGTTGAGTGGAATGACTTTCAATCCTT